TCGTCATCTTAAATCTTCAAATCAACACTTCCATTTTGGAAAATCTTTTTCAAGAACCATATATGTGATTCTTAAAGGCTTCAAATTGATTTGTGAAAATCTTCCATCCTGGGAATTCTTTGTGAACCATTATGTCGGTGTTTTTATAGTTTGTGAACCATTATGTCAGTGCCTTTGCTATGAGCCAATGTTTAGGCGCTTTAAGCTAAGTGAGACAATCTTTTATTAGGTCGATCACTTTATGTGATTGTAATCAAGCCAATTACTTAATCATGTCGAATTGCTTATAGGGGCTAACTGGCGTACCAAGGAACCCAAAATTACTGTATGAGGTCCGCATGATCTAATATGGGGGCCACCCATTATGTCGCCGTACCAGCGCTCGCTGGCGCCGCGCTTTTCTTCTGTCGCCAGGCAATAGCCTTGTCAACTGGCGCTGGAGTCGGGTCTTCCCTATTTTGCTCTTGCTGCTGTTGTTGCTCGGTTTCGCTCCGAACTTTGAACTTGGTTGTTTCCTTTCAGCCAAATCTGCTTGAATCTTTTGTAAATTAAATCTTTTCATCTCTAATTTACTAATATATGTAATGTTGCTCAAACTCCTTTCATCTTGGAAGAGTCTCATGCGGCATATTCGCGGTTTTCGAAAAAAATCCAGGAATGTTCTTGCTTGCTGGGATTCACCTGCATTCATATCTTTGACTATAGGACTTTGCTCATCTCTTTAATTATCTTAGGGTTAACCTAAGGCTTAGTGTTTCTTGACTCGTTGACTTGACATGACTTTAGGTATAAACTTAACTTAATGATGACTCACTTCGTGTGACTCGTGTGTGCATAGTGTTGACTCAATGTGATAACACGACATAACTCAATGTGTACATGACTTGTGTGTGCATTGTAACGTGATCGCGCGACTCGAAAATGCAAAAAAGAAAAAAAAAAATCGTCATTTTTGTGGAGGGTACCGACTTTCTCCAGAAAAAGAAAGATGCGAAAAAAGAAGAAGTTTTTGAAGGTGCATGTTAAATGAGCTTAATCTGTTAATGTTATCTCTCACAGTATAAGGATTGTAACATCTTAAACTATCCTAGTTTACTTGATAATGAAATATTTAGGTGACTTAGGCGCGGAAGCTAAAGTACTTCATACTTTGTGATGCAATGATGATTGATGTTGAGTAATAAGGAATGCTTCAGCGTTGTGTTAAGATTTCATGACAAAGGGTTCCTAAGGGAAGTATATTTGGTATGTATCTGTGCAGTGTGTGAAAGTGTCACTAAGGTTAGGCCGCAAGGGCTAAGTGTGTAGAAAGATAATATTGAAAAGAGTCAAATGATAGTGACTCTTAGGCTAGGTAAGCTAATGATGTAGGGATCAAGCCCCCAAGTCTAGCTCTAAGTAGATAGGGATGAGCATAGGAAATCCTTTGATATGATCATGATGTGTGAATGTGAAAGCATTTTAAATCGCCTGCACCTCGATGTGAGGTTGCCTACGTATTCGTTAGGAATCAGGCCGAACGTAGCTCTAGCCGAACCTTGCACAAGTGTGTGTATACCTCAAAGAGGTCTTTTAAGGGTTGTAACGTGGTTAGGCTAAAGGTTGAAGAAGAAAGGGATAAAAGCTCAAGACCCAATATAAGCCTCCAAGGCGTGCAACCTTGCTTTTGAATCTTTATTTTTTTATGCTTGAGGATTCTCACTTTTGAGCTCTTTGTTTTTTTATTTTTGCTCTCTTTTTTTTTTTTTTTTTTTTTGCTTTTGCATTTTTTTTTTTTATAAGTGTGGGCAATCCCGATCATGCGGTCTATCACTCACTCGGCATTCATGTTTCTCAGGCACAGTACCGAGCACTCGACAAGAGACGCAATCTAAGACGTGTTCATATCGAAGACATTTTCATATCAAAGACATTGGAACACTTGCCCTTTTGTACACTTTTATTTATCTTTATTTTTTTTTTTGCTTATTTATTTTGCTATTTTAATCTTTTGAAGTCACTTAAGCCTTTTATGAAATTGAAAATTACATAAGTTGCACACCATCCCATCCCAAGGTTAGGTAGATATGGGTTGAAAAAGAAAGGTCTATCGTTAGACAAGGCTCAAAGTGGTTTATCAAGAAAAGATTGTATATTTGAAGGGTGAAAGGTGATATGATGTGTCTACAAGAGGTGCCTCAAATCATTGGTATACCTTGTGCTTAATTCGACATGGATATTTTTTTTTAATGCAATGTAATGAAACGATCATATGCAAGAAAATAAACGCTCATTTTTAATTAAAGGAGAAGAAATAATGATCCTACAAAATAAATCTAAGGAGAATAAAAAGGTGCCTATGCTAGACTTATTGAGGAAAGGGTAAATAAAATAAATAGAAAATAGGAGGTCACGAAATCTCGTCGTTGAAGCTCGCCTGTGACTTGTGTTGTTTGCTTAATCATTACTCGCTCTTCTTGTTAGCTGGAGGCATGGGGAGCTGGTTATTATCGATCAAATGTTGGATAGCCTCCTTTAGCTTCCAATAGCTCTCAGTAGTATGACCCCTACCTTAATGATATTTTCAATGTGCATCTGGATTCCAACTAGGCAATCTCTTTTCAGGTGCGGGATCTTGAATAGGTCCAATGGGAGTAATGAGTCCCTTAGCATGGAGTCGATCGAAGGCGGTATCGTAGCTCATCCCGATGGGGGTGAAGTCTTTCCTTATTTTCTTCTTAGATCCTTGGTTATCCATGGCTAAAACTTCACTTATATCAAAGGTACTAGCATTGTTACTAGAGTGGGCATTTTTGGAAGAAGGAGGATTGTCGTTCTTCTTTCCTTTCCAGCCACTGTGGTTACTATTGTTAGTAGCTTTTTGCTTTGCGAGGTCATCTTCGATCTCGATGCCTATGTCATAGATGGCTTTGAAAATATTCAAGTTGTGTTGATATTTTAAGTGCTTTGAATACTTTTCTTGTAAATTTTTTATGAACATCCTCACAAATTCTTTTTCGGAGGGCACCTCAATCATTTTAGCGAAAGTTCCCCTCCATTTATTGAAGAAAGAAGTAAAGCCTTCATTCTCTTTTTGTCTTAGCATCTCAAGTTGTCTATAATCGGTTTCGACTTGAATATTGCATTTATACCTATCAATGAAAGTGTTTACTATTGATTCCCAAGTAGAGGTTTTCTCTTTGTCAAGGGAGAAGAACCATTGTTGGCAAACAGTTTCAAGAGATAAGGAAAACAAGGAATGAAAGACTTTCCTATCAATCCCCTTAATGTTCATTATAGTTTCAAAGGCTCTTAAGTGAAGATAAGGATTGTCTGTTGCCTTAAATTTATGGATGTCGGTGGCATTGAACTTCTGGGGAAGAAGCTCCTTGTCCACCGAGACCCCTTGTGAGCTAATTCCATGGAATTTATAGTCATTGGATATCTTGCTCAAGCTCTCTTGCATGAGCTCCATTTGTTGTTGCTTCACAGGGTCATTGATTTGAAGGGTTAAAGCCTTCAACACCTCAGTCACGTCAGCCTTTGCTTTTTAAGTTCATTGACTTCTTCTTGACTTGCCATTATCTTATTAGCTTTCCGTTTCCGACTCACTGGTTTATCAAAAAGTTGAACTTGAATGAAGGTGTTATCCTTGATTAATCGCCCTTCTCTCCTTGACCAAGTACTGTGGAAAGGGAAATTAGGGATATTCACTGTTAATTATTTGACTCAAACTCTATTCAACATGCAAGGATGGAAGAAGGTTGTGATATGGAGGAATCATGAAGATGGAGAGATATGAAAAAAAAAAATAGAAATAGAATGTACCCCCAACTCAAATGACGGAAAAACCGACTCATGCATGAACCTAAGACATGGTCGTGGTGACATATATAAAGTGTGTGCTAATACTAATGAGTGTAGTGAGTGTAGGTGACATGTTAAGACTCTTGTGTGAGACCATGTGGCTAGACTATGTGACTAGACTCAATTAAGGGCTTAACAAAGGTACTGTTATTAACAAAATAATCGAATGGATTAGCAAACTATTTAATTAGACTCACATAGTGATGACTCGAGCAAAATTCTGAACTGTCGCCAAAGCAACAGGACTGTCGCCGCACTTTGCAGTGCAGCGCCAGACGACAGAGTTGTCGCCAGGCGTTGCACAGCATAGTGTGGCGCTGCAGCCCAAATCGTGATGCCATTACTAGAGCGTTAATCTGGGACTGCTTTCAGTATTTTAACTCTACGGGACATGCCTAAAGTCGTACTAAGTCAATTCCGATTAAATTATTAGACTTTAATAACTCAAATTAATTAATTAATTAATTAATTAGGCAAAGTCCTTTTAGTCATTAATTAGTTTATTTAGACTTAAACACAAGTCAAACAAACGGTTAGGAAAAACACATAGAGTATGCACAACGAATAATGCACAATTATTCAAGTAGGCACAAATGCACAATATGATGCAATGAGTTTGCAACCTAACCATGGCTCTAATTCTCTAAAGTTCAGGATGTGGGTTAGTCAAAGAGGGTCCATGGTTAATTGTCCGTATGCACCGCGCGAAAGCCTTACCTTTTGAAGGGTTGGCGCGAATGGATGGGACACCGCGAATTAAAAAAACTCGTTTGGTGTATTCAACATTCTCGGATGTACCCTTTGTTGCACAGAGCGTTCAATCAGGTAGATGGAGCATGAATTCCCAGAGGGTTATGTCCATATGTAGAACACATATGGGTTTCAGAAAAGTAAGAAAAACTCAATCAGGAAGTAGGATCGAGCAAACAGTGCTAAAAACTGGTCAAAATTAGAACGCATATTTCTGACTCGGTATTGGAAGAACTTGGCGCCAACGAACAGATTGGTAGAAAAAAGCTTATATGTAAAGGATAAGAAGGGGCTATTTGTAACGAGCACGAACAATCATTGTCCGTTACATGGGTTTATTTATTTATTTGTGACGGGTGATTGCCCATTATAGATAACATGTAATTCGTAATTGGCTTATGGGCACATGCTATGCAATTAGAATATGAAAGTTACATAATTCGAAACTCAAACCTAGCCATGGTGATTTAAATAATGAAATCTCATCGGAAAATAATCACACCATTGTCTTAACCATCTTCTATTCGACAACGACGTTATTTTTAGCTTCACTACTTCATTGTAAAAACTTCATTAACAACGCTTCAAATCAAAGCTTGAAGAAAAAAAAAATTGAATTTAATCTATTGTAATGAAGGAATTCACTCTATAGTGATCAACAATATGAAGTAATTTAATTAAAAGAATGATAAACGAATTCAAGAAAAAGAAAAATAAAATAGAGAGAAAAATAGAGGAGAGAGAAAATAAAAGAGAGAAAAACCAGAAATTAGGAAAGTAAAGAAGGAAAGAGAAGAGAGTATATTTTAATGGATGGTTCACATAAAACTATATGCACCATGTTGCATCCTATAATTTGCCCATGCTAGCCCGTTACAAAACGTAACTATCATGACATTTGGCTCTTACACATCGTGGTTGGCCCAATTAAAATAAAAATCCAGCATATGCTGCTAGTTAGCGCAATCATTTTATCAATTAATGAATGTAAATTATATTTTATACCAGTATAGTATATACTTCATATACAATCAGTAAAAGCTTGCATTCATTAATCCATTATTACAAAAACACTAAAACTAAAAAAAATGAGCAAAAGCAAATCTCAATTGTAATAAATCAAGTTGACTTTAAGACTAAGATTAGATTTAAATGATTTTCCGCAAAATCAGTGCTGATTGATTTACATCTTCCACCATTTTTCCGAGTTTCTGCAATCTCAATTCCGAGGATCAATTCCAAGGATGAGGATGCCTTAGGAACCTGCAACACCCACCTCGCACCTTTGCACATAGGACCACTCAATTAAATTCTTTGTTCATGGCTTTCTGAACCTGCAAAGTGCAAACAAACAGGGCTTAACAGTTAACACCATCTTTTAACTTCGAATAGATAGCTAATGAACATTTAACTTAGAATTAGCCAATATACCTAACCAAAATAGCCCAAACAATTTCGTATCTAGTTATTGCATGCACATCCGATGCTAAAATTGAATTAATTAGAAATTGACATAGGTTCATATAGTTTTCAGTCCATAGTAGAAAAGCCTACCTCATATCATTTGTAAAACTAAAAATCCAACCATAATGAATACCTACCAAGAGCTTAAGAGATAACTATGCTTGCATACATTCAAGCATAATCATCATTTTGATTTCAACATCATTGGCAAGAATTGCAATGCATTACCATTATGTCAAGGTCTACATCAAGGGCGAATCAGCCACACATCAATCATTCAATCCATGCCACCAAAGTAACAATTCCAAATTACCCGCGAAAAACCTTAAATATGTCAAAAATAATGGTCATGATATAGTGCTTAGCCATATTGTTTAGGCTTCAGAACATGAACTTATCTAAGCAATCAAAAAGAGGAAATATCCAATAGCATATGTATCAACAAACTATTACATATGATGTGCAGACTGCTTAAAAATAAATAATTAAGGAAGACAGCGCATTGATAACAGACAAAAATACTGAAAAAACCACTATATTGCTGAACATTTATCAAGAATTAACTCGAGGAACAAAGACAACAGCCCCAGCAGTTCTGGATCCAGTTGTCCAGTTGATACATGCATATCCACGGATACATACTCCACTTTAATAGAGATAATCATCAAGAGAGAGAAAAGAGGGGTTCTCATGGAGGTGTAGCACAAACGTCAATGACCAAAAACTCTCTATCCCAGGCACTAAATACATCCCCGGAATCCAGGATCACTGGATCATGAAGTGTTATTGTCAAATAGCTAAAATATCATGCAAGAAAATTATCACAACACAACAATGAACATCAAGCTAGCTATATTGTGTAAGCAGACTCAGAATTAATGACAGGATACAGAGTCAAAAGACACTAATTGGGTTTTGGTAATAGGCAAACTCAGAAATAGAGAGAGCAATAGTGTTTAACTATCCAAGAAAATGCAACTATTGAGCCTTTTGGACGGCACAGATTATTCTGGGATATACAGGTGTTTACACTTGATTACACAATGCCCAATAAGTGCTTGTATAAAACCTCAATGAGAAAAGGAAGCAAATTTAGGGCCAGACACTGATTAACCCTGAGAGAAAAAAAAAAAAAAAAAAAAAAAAAAAAAAACAGATGAATAATAAGAGCATGTCAAATAAAAAGATAAGGCTGCCCAAACTAAACATATTGGACTGCTGCAAGACTTGTTTCAAATTTATTTGACTTATTATTCTCCCTAATCTATCCACATTAGTTAACAATAGTGCATCTGTTGGCTCCATGAACTGTTACTGATGTGTTAAATAGATATTTAATTTATCAGGTTAGTTATTTATTGTGTGGATTACAAAGGATCAAAGTCATCTCACCTATGCAGCTCCTCTAAAACACAAGAAATTACTGAATCCTAGTTGTACACTTTGTTAATTGTAAACATGGATTAGATATTTAGATATTTATTATCCTGCATTTAAAAGGCTTTTCACATGCACAGCAAGGTGGCCTCCCATGAGGGTGTATGCATAAGGATGGCTCCGTGAGTTCGTGATGAAATCGAACACGACACCATGGTTTGGTGGACTTAAAATCTTAGACGTACCCGTATTGCCATAAGCATTTGGGTAGGTAAAGCATAAATCTCCATACAAAGCACTATGAGAGTGTTATTCAGAAAAAATAATAATTTAACTGTCTAGATCCGAATTATTGGCCTTCAATACTAAAGTATGTAGTAGCAATATATTCAGGCAAGTTACAACTATACAAGTATACAACAAGTTTGAGAATACCTTGACTAATGATGATTCCTGCAACATTCTGGGAAATAGCTGTCAATAGCATAGTCAATTTTAACAGACATAGCCACTCCTCATTTTACGCGTAATGGACCTGCCCATACGAAGGCGCCGAGTAGTAAGAGCCTCTAGCAACACATCCAAAGTATCTTCTATAGCTTCACCCTGTTTATCAAGACAATATGAACTGAATTGAGGAATAAGCTGCAATTCAGAAAGAAGGCCAGCAGCTGCTGCTGCTGTGCAAGTGCGATCCCATGATGGTTGGGGCCTGCACTCAAAACAGAAGGACCAGTCAGTAAAAGAAACAAGATACCCTAAGAGGTAGTTACAAGTACATCCAAAGAGTTTTCTTAGAAAAATTAAGGAAAGAATCAGAGGGCAATAATGTGGTGGTAAAAGCATAATTCAAAAGTTTACAACTTGCCTAAGTCTGTGCATTGCTGAAGCACCTGTTGCAACCGATATGCAAGTTATGTCATCCTCTCCCCACTCAAGTTTTGCTCGATCCTGGATGATTACATAGTTATTACTTCTTACATACACTTTTAAAATTAATGAAAAGATTCATAAATGATAAGCATACAGGAACCTCAAGGAACCTGTACAATGAATGAGAAAACAGATTCATCAAAATTCAAGTGTTTTTAGAACATGAACTGTTTACAACTTCAATCAATCAATCAATCAATCAATCAAAGCCTTAGTCCCATAGGTGGGGTCGGCTACATGAACCAAATTTGATAACTCCGTGTAGTCATCAACACAGATCCTCCTCCTCCATCCCTTACAATCCAACGCCTCATCCTCATGCACATCCATATACTTCATATCCTTCCTAACTCCTTCCAACCAAGTCATTTTCGGTCTCCCTCTCCCTCGGTTAACCCCTCCACAATTAAATATAAGCTAGATCATAAATACATATATTAATGCTCAAGGGCTTGGAGTTTTGATAGTGTAGCCACCTAATAATATTGCATTCATGGTGTTGGTAACAATTGCTGATCATTAGAGTAGTATTTCCCAAGTGATTACAACCATTTCAATTTGCAACAGAGAATATTTAAATTTTGATTTATCTGCGAGCAATCGACAATCCAAATCTAAATTTATTTTCAAAAGCTGCACTATATATGGACCTCTGAAACCTCCCTAATTAGGTGACAACATAGGGTCTAAATTTAATGAAGCTGATAGAATCACAATTTTATAGCTTTGATTTATGATAAACTAGCTTTATGATGAATCATACTCACTCTGTTCGATAAAGATGTTATACTCTGCGTTTTACACGGTCTCAAATGCATACTTTTGACCTTTAATATCTATCAATTTATTTAATTAGTAATAATCATGAAAAATGTACATCACAAAAGTACACATTATAACAAATTAATCAAGATCTCACATAATAATATTTGAACTTGTGAATTACAAACTTCGGACAAAGTTTTATAAGCTTGACCACATGAATAATGTTGTAGGCCTTGTACCTTCTTTATGCAACAAAGGTATACTTCCTCCGTTTCTTAATAATTGCAACACTTCCCTAAAATGGAAATGTCACAATATTTGCAACACACTATAATTAGAAGGAATTTTTTGAAAATAAAACCACAAAAAAAAAAAAAAAAAAAAAAAAAAAAAAAAAATTGATTATAAGACAAAATTCCAAACTTTTACTATAACACCACAAAAAATATCTGAAATTGGATTTTACCACCATTTAACGATTCCTTAGATGGAATCTGTTAGGGGAGCCCGCAAAAGACACGTGTCATTAGCCTATTGGTTTACAAAAAAAAAAAAAAAAAAGACCATAAACCCTAACCAGCCAGCTCCACCCCGGCACCATTTGCTACAGCTGTCGACTACCTTACCCAGCCGCCGACACCCCTGCCAACCAAAACCAGCGAAATCAGCCTTTACTCCCTTCCTCGTCCCCGAAAACATTCCCCAGCTCTGCCTAGCGGCCTCACAGCTCCAACAAAACCAACCACGAATTCTCACCATCACCGAGCAACCCCCGCAACCACCTCCGCCACTACACAAAACTGATTTTCCCCCCTTCAAACCACCGCAAATACCGATTTTGTTCGCCTCCACCACAAAATCGATAGATCTTGAGCTTCAAAGGTCGCATTCGGCCGGTTTGAAGGTGAGGGGTAATTCCAAGGGTGGTTTTCGGGGAGGGGGCGAAAGGGCTAGGTGGTTTTCGCGGGGGTGCTTCGGTGGATGGGAGTGGTTTTTTGGGGAGAGGGAAGGTGGAAGGGGACTTGCAGGAGGGCTAATGGTCGGTGGGGGTGATGGGTGGTGATTACGCGGTGAAGGGAGGGCTTCCGGCGGCAGTGGGGGTCTCCGATGGCTGGGTTAGGTTTAGGGGTTTTTCTTTTTTTTTTTTAATTTTTGTTTTTATTTTTATTTTGATTTTTATTTTTCTTTTTTTTTTAACCAATGTCAAATTAACACGTGTCCATAGTGGGTCCCTTTAACGAATTTCATCCAAAAATCCATTAGATGGTGGTAAAATCCAATTTTTTGGATTTTTTTGTGGTGTTATAATAAAAGTTTGAAATTTTGTGGAGTTATAATCAAAATTCTATGTTTTTAGTGGTGTTATATTTCTAAAAAATTCCTAATTAGAAAGTTATTTTGGCAAAAAGTTGTACTATTTTCCTTATTTAAAGCACATGACCTATTGGCCCAATAAACTATACTCCTTACAACCCCTCACCCCATTTTAAAGTGTTTTAAATCATAAGAACTCTACTTTTCTAAACTACCGTGAAAAAGTGTGCATTGCAACTATACGAAGGAGATATTAAATTCAGTAACACGAAAAATGCTTAGGATCTTGGAGTATAGTTTTCTTTCCCACAATTATGGTGCTGGGGTGTCAAATGTCTAATGAAAACAACTTCTTTCGTATTTGCAGTTGTAAAGCTATTTAGGAGGTCAGGTGTCTACTTGTCATCGCTAGGTCAAGGGTAAAAATAATCTTTTAATGAAACTGAAGCCAAGCAAAGATGCATACAAGAGACCTTTCAAGACCCTTAAAGCCAAGTAAAGCTGCATACAAGAGACCTTTCAAGACCCTGCTAGTATACTGGGAACAAACTTTTTTACCCTGCTAGGTTGTGTATGCCCAACAGGCAACAACACCCTTAGGTATTGAAGTCTCGTCAAAGGCATCCCGGTGATAACTTTAATATTGATAAATTAGGTATTTAGGCTACAATTTAGTATAGGAATAATTGACAATAACGATCCTACGTTTCCTCTATCATCTCTAAACACTCCCATCTTTTGATTAATTAAAAATAATCCAATATAAAGTGTGGTCCACATACAAAGCCCAAGATGGTTCCTTAACAAAAACAATGGGTATGGATGGAGTAACTCTTGTGCTTATAAAGTGGTTCATCATCTCTTCTTTATCCAATGTGAGACAACTCAGAATTACATACATATGGGTTCTACACTCTCATCTAACTTGTGAGTGTCCTTAAAATCCAGAGCTAAGTGGAAAGGTAATCACAAACATTTCTCTTAGGAGCTAGACATCCCGTGAAGTGTATCCTTAATTCCTTATCTAGTTGCATCAAAGACCCAGTTTCGAAGAGACCCACAAATTGGGCTCTAATACCATAATAACACATAGAGTTCAAAATCTTCTCATATTGGTCAGTAACTCGGTGATTTTTGATCCATCTCTGTGTTCTCGCTCTCTTTCTAGATTGTTGCCCATATATGTCAGCCATTACCAACACGACAAGTATGTCATCATGTCCCAACACCGCCATGGCCCATTGCTATTTCAATCCAAATCAATTTATATTTTACAACACTGTTTTCTAGCTTCTGCTTTTGCCTTGTTTAATCTACCACTTCCCCTTTTATTAACAGGGGGCATGTGCTCCAATCGTCTAATTGAACTTAAAGATGAAGAATTTAGAAATATTGTTGTTATAATAACTTCATGATTGTTGGCAGCTAAAATCAATAAAACCCTCGGTCTTCTCATTAAAAATGGAATAATATTATATCTGGGTTGCCATGGGCATGTATATTGGGTAGCTACTGCTTTCAGAGTTCTTATTATCTCCTTTTTTATTATTCACATCCATTTCAAACTTAGGCAATATGACTTGCACGTAAGAAAAAATGCATTGATGAGTATTCACTCATCACACTTACACCTTCTTTTATGACTTGCACATAAGAAAATGTAGTCATGTGGGATCTTATTTGATTTGTTTCAATACATAGACTATAGATCATAATTACCTGATTCTTATGATTTATAAAAATGCATAACTTAAGTTATAAATGGTTAAACATGTGTCTCAGCAAGTGTGAAAAGTAAAAATTGCAAATAAAACACTAGAGGAAATATTTTTAATTTGGTCTTGGAAACCAACAGAAATATACCCAACATTCATCCAATCACAAAACTTTCAGCACATTTAGAGACAAGATAGACCATTTTGAAAACAACAATATGTTATACTTCTTTAGGGGAAAGACGAAGCTCATAGGTAAAGGAGAAACTTCTTCATATCAAAACAACCAACCGTCACAATAGTTGGTTTGTCTTCTTGAATTAAAGGACATTCAACAATGAATAATTTATTCCCTTAATGAATGAAAATGAGTAACAAAGACGGGGCTACCTTTAAACGCTTGAACATTGCCGTAGAATTGCTCCATGTTCCATCTATAAGAATGAAATTCAAGATATTATCTCCACTTGTCTGTGGAGCAGCAAAAATATGGACATAAAATTAGGGTGGTAGATTCAAATGAAAAAGAGAAATCCACAAAATATATATATACTTCCTCCATTCCAAATTAGATGATACAGTTTGACTTTGTGCACTATTCACAGTATATATAAAAATAAAATAAAAAATAAAAAAATGAAATACTATGAATGAGCATTTTGTTGTGATTTAAGAACCTTACACTGTAGAATATAATGCTAAAATTTAGGAATTTGTATCCCTACCCATCTAATGTTTCCCACTTTTATCAAGTTACCACCTTATGAAATTTATTATTTATTTTACCACCTTTTATTTGCATAAACCCCATATATTACCACCTTGTAATGAAAACTGTTAAAAATATTCTGTTTTTTGGACCCAGTTATGGTCCTATAACTTCTTTATTCCCTCTTCCTTAAAAATTCAACTTAAAAAAAAATAAATATACATAAACAAAAATGAATTTTTTCTTATTTAGCTTAGATGGATAAAGGGTTGGGATAACAAGGATCTACAGAGAGGATGGGGGAGACCAAAGATGACTTGGATGGAAGGAGTTCAAAAGGACATGGCGAGGATGGGTATACAATCTTATATGGCTTTAGATGGGAATAAATGGAGAAGAAGGGTAACTGTGGAAGTCGTTGACCCCATCTTTTTGGGATTAAGCCTTTGATTATCATGATGATGATGATGATGACAAATGATATTTTCATAACGAAGTCAATTACAAGGTGGTGTTTGTTAGGTCTATACATTCATAAGGTGGTAAATAATTAAAAGTTTTCATAGGGTGGTAAGTTGAAAAGGTGGAAACATTAGGTGGTTAAGCCTTAAGGACAGACTTTCCAATTAAAAAAAATAAAAAAAAAAAAGTTTACTCCTCTTGTTCTTTACACACTACTTACAGTGAAATGGAGAAACCTTGACAATAAATTCTCACAGATATATAAGAAATAACAAAGAGGTTTGAGAACATTATTTAATTTTTTTGGGGTAAAAAAACTATTATTGAGTGAATGATAACAGGTCGGATTGGAATAGATTATGCACCATAATCTAACACCGACTTGACTGGCAGTTGATGTTCAATTTTGTATGAATCCAACATTAGACTCCCCTCACCAAGGTATGATTCTACCCCCTTAATTCGAACATCACTCCTCCCCTCCCTATAAAGATCTATAATGTGTACCAAATAACAATCCATCATTTGACACCATTTACAATAGATGTTTAGCAATACATGAAGATATTAAAGCATAAATATGCATAAGTACCTTGTCCAAATTGCTATCCTCGATACTCGGTGTATCACATAAGAAGTAATCCTTTACGGACTTGGGAATTCCAGGCTTACTAGGATAAAGGCACCACACCATGTTTTTTCCTGAATATTTAAAGGTAGATCGTCAAGATTGAACGCTCAGAGTGATCTCATAACTAGAAAAAGCACATGAAATGAAATCCACTGAATACCACCATATCAAAAACAAAGGGCAACAAAGAAGCATTAACAGAACTGAGGTCAAGTACTGGAGAACTAGATTCCAGAAACGCAACTTAGGCTCAAAGCAAACTTTTAAAGGGAATTGTGTCCCTTAGCTCACCAACACTAAGGCTATCTCTACCCTGATTTCCTCATCACGTTGCCAATTCAAAATACATTGCCATGGTCCTAACTAAAGTCCACCAATTTTCAAAGGGGTAATAAACTAGCAATCTAGCAGATAGCAAATCACGCAACCAAAATTTAAACTTTCATTTATAGTTGCATGGATGAAATATGATGCATATACAAAGATAACACAGCACAAAAGTTACAAAATGAGAGAATGCAGTAGCAATATTGATAGTAGCTTTAAATTTTGAGCTCCAATACAATTATTTATCATTTTATTGTTATCAGCTCAACTGCTCAATAACCTGACTAAAACAAAACCTAATAGGCTAGAACAATTTCCACAAACCAAACTTTAACAAAACAGGCAACAGTCAACAGTCAAGTTTCCTTTTCGAATATTACACCCAATTTAGATTATTAATAGCTAGTCATTTTGCATTATCAACAAAAGATTACAAAGCGAGTTACAATATCAATATAACAATTAACTAAGCTATTGCATAAACGTAACAACACATTATAAATAAACAAAGAAAGTAGGTCAAAGGTCATTATAGTACAGCAAGCCTAATCCAAATCATAATGAATGGGACTATGGAAGCCATTTGCTACTAATTGAGTTCCTAGCTACCACTTGGAGGTTGAAGCTAAACTGCAGGGTGGAGAGAACGGAAAGATATTACTTCTTAATCCAGTCCCATTACTCGTGACAAGGATCAGCTGGAAGATATGTGAAGATTTAAGCGACAAAAAAGCAAAACGTACAAGTAAAATAAAAGATATGGAATTGGCTATTCTAAATATGGCATGTTGGAAGTGAACAAGCTATATGAGAAGCATGAAGTTGGTTCCACGTAATTTATAAATTCGTTTGCAGCAAGTGCAATTGGAAGCACAGGAGGCATAAACAACATAGGAAACAATTTTACAGAGTTACAGACACAATAAATATGAGACAATATATCTGGGTGGGGCACCAAACTAATACAACACTAGAAAAGTCAAAAACCAATCATTATGTTACAAAGATGAACAAATTACCCTAGAAGATGCCATTAAAATCAAACCTGCTTTCTTAAATTCATTCCACATTATGTCTTCATGTTCAGCAATACCATAGAGGCATAATGTTGCTGCCTGCACACCAAACACTTGCCATAACACCTTTCCTGTGTTGTTTTGCCGCAAAAAATCCTAGAAAAATAAGACAAAAGGCAACTAATCATAGATATATGCCATCTGCTATTGCAAAGTTACTGAGGCATGTTCATAAAATGCAACAAAAAAAAAACAAACCTTAGGATGCATGTACAACCAAAATCGTATTCCATACCAAAGTGGGCTAGGTTTGACTTTCAAGCACATGCAATCTTCTTCATATGGAAGCCAACACTGGAAGCAGGATAGACATGAACTGATTAGATATTACCAAAAAGGATTACCTAAAATTACTTATACCAGAAAAAATACAGAGGCAGACCCAAAGAGAGTATCTAATAAGTACAAACCAGCATTCAAAAATTACAATAAATGCTAATAAGTTACAGAAATCAAGTACCTTCTGACAAAGGTATCCTCGACTGCCAAGTAAACGACAAGCTATCTGTCGTGCTGAGAAAAACTGAAGCTTCATTTCTGAATCACTCAATGCCTTATAGGCTGCTCTATGCTTCTTATCCTCTTTAATTTTGAATTCACCCTGAAACATACATGGATGATGATGTGGATCAAGAGGGAAATTCTTTTGAAGAGCCAATCATATTGGTTTTAAGGCCAATAGGGTTTGAGCTTGGAGTAAAGAATCAAGAATGGTTAACATGCGCAGCCATTGAAGAAGAAGTCAAGGTCCAGTTGGGTTCCGACGACGGCAGCGGCGGCGACGCGCCGATCTGGGTGCCACGCGCCGGCTCCCTAGCTCCGGCCTGAGTCCAGCTACACGGCGGTGGGGCGCGTGTCGATGATGGCGGCGCGTGAGGTGGTGGTTCGGCGGCAGTACGAAAAGAAAGATTTTCCTAACTTAGTTTTTTCTAGAGTTTTTGCTTGCAAGTTTTTACCTTTCACTTGAAAGGGTTTTTCTTGGTTTAAGCAATTAGGAATCTTCTTAATTTCTGTTAATTTAGTTTTAAATAATTTCTAAGTCAATTAGGAATTGTTTTAAGAAGTTTTAGGTTAATTAGAACTAGTCTTATTACTAGTTTCCTAGTTCCATTAGAATTGGTTCTCCTATTCTATCTAGGATACTTGGGGATCAAGGCTAGGGTTTTTTCCTAGTTCGAATAGACTTAGGAATAGTTAGTTTTAGTCTATAAATAATGTAATTTTCGTGATTTTTCAGAACATTCGAAAATCATTAAAATTCAAGTTAATTGTTTGTTTTGCTTAATTGCTTACAAATTCTTTTGCTAGTTTTCAATTCAAGGAGTTGTTTTGATAATTAGAACGTTCAATTCTTAGTTCTAGGAGTAGTCTAAGTTTTGTTCATCAAAGTACTTAGTTCCAGGAGTGGTCTAGGTAATTTGAGAGGCGTTGAATTCGTTCCAGGAGTGGTCGTTTTCAAAGTCATATCCGGTTCGTTATTCTTAAGTTGTTCGATTTTCTTAGGAAATTCGAAGGGCTTGTGTTACTTGTGTGATTTTAGATTCTTTATTAAGTTAAGGGGTTTAAATCCACATCAAATTGGTATCAGAGCTTGTGTGATACCACATCAAATTGGTATCAGATTTCAGGGGTTTTTGATCGTTCAACAATTCGTTCATCAAATCGCACTTGTTCTCGGATAACCAGTTTTTCTGTCAACTTCAGAAGGCTCGTTCTCCTTCGTTACAAAGTCTTTTCAGGTGATTCTTTTTTTGATTTTGGGTGAAATTTTGTCTACTTTCTGCCTGTGAAATTTCGGAATTTTTCGAGTTCGTGTGCTATTAAACTGGACTGTTTTCCGCAACTGTGTCAGTTTTGGTCCGATTTAATACTTACTGCTCTTTGTGTGCGATTTTCTTCCAAGTTGTGTTGCGATTTTTGAGGGTTATTCCTGTGTGTTTTGGGGTCTTTTAAGTCTGTTTTTGTCTTATAATTATGGAGGAAGCTTTGAGCAAATCTATGGATGAATTTGCAAAGTTACTTCAAGGTCATAAAAAGAAGAAAAAACATGAAGATGATAACGTAGATTTTGGCTTTGGTAACAAACATATGCTTATGGAGCGACTGAATTTACATGAAGAAATTATTTTTCAAGGTCAACAAGATAGTTTGTTTCATACTCGATGCAAAGTTGTTGATAGAACTTGTAGGGTGATCATTGATAGTGGTTCGTGTACCAATGTAGCGTCTACAGAGATGGTTACTAAACTCCAACTTCCTACAAGAGATCATGAAAAACCATATAAGTTGGGTTGGCTAGATAATTCTATGGGTTTTCATGTAGAACAACAAGCTTTGGTGAATTTCTCCATTGGCAATTACAAGGAAGAATTATGGTGCGATGTGATTCCTATGAGTGCTTGTCACGTTCTTTTAGGAAGACCATGGCAATTTGATCGACATGTTAAACATGATGGTGTGGCCAACACATATTCGGTCAAGGTGGGAAACAAGAGGTTCAAACTTATTCCTTTAACTATTATTCCATGCCGCGTTAAAGTTAAAGAGATGGAGGAAGATTGTCAAAAGGATAAGGAAGAGGAACATGTAGGTGCTAAAGAGCTCGAAGAAAAGGTGAGTGAAACAATTGATGTTCCAATTGTGTGTGACGTTGTTCAAGATCAGATTATTCATAATGATCTACCAATGGTGGTGTCGGAAAAGGTTTTTGATACTATTGAGGAGCCATTCGTGAATCAAGATAATAATTTAATGGTTTCTTTAGAAGTGGTGGATTCATTAGGCATGCATAAAGAGAAGAAATTGTTAGTCATACATGAGAAAAATATCATGAAGCCTAAAGTGTTCTTATGGTCAACTTCGAAGACCAAGGACCAAATTGAGAATTGGTTGTTTCTAAAATATTGCCTTGCTCGTGGTGATGTTGTTACATTGCTTAAAATTGCTAGCATTGATGTAATAGTTCTTTTGGCTTGTATTCGTCGAATTTGGATGGTTTCATGGAATTGTTCTCCTTACATGGATGATGCGAATTTGAGGACAAATTCTTTTGAAGAGGGGGAGAATGATGTGGATCAAGAGGGAAATTCTTTTGAAGAGCCAATCATATTGGTTTTAAGGCCAATAGGGTTTGAGCTTGGAGTAAAGAATCAAGAATGGTTAACATGCGCAGCCATTGAAGAAGAAGTCAAGGTCCAGTTGGGTTCCGACGACGGCAGCGGCGGCGACGCGCCGATCTGGGTGCCACGCGCCGGCTCCCTAGCTCCGGCCTGAGTCCAGCTACACGGCGGTGGGGCGCGTGTCGATGATGGCGGCGCGTGAGGTGGTGGTTCGGCGGCAGTACGAAAAGAAAGATTTTCCTAACTTAGTTTTTTCTAGAGTTTTTGCTTGCAAGTTTTTACCTTTCACTTGAAAGGGTTTTTCTTGGTTTAAGCAATTAGGAATCTTCTTAATTTCTGTTAATTTAGTTTTAAATAATTTCTAAGTCAATTAGGAATTGTTTTAAGAAGTTTTAGGTTAATTAGAACTAGTCTTATTACTAGTTTCCTAGTTCCATTAGAATTGGTTCTCCTATTCTATCTAGGATACTTGGGGATCAAGGCTAGGGTTTTTTCCTAGTTCGAATAGACTTAGGAATAGTTAGTTTTAGTCTATAAATAATGTAATTTTCGTGATTTTTCAGAACATTCGAAAATCATTAAAATTCAAGTTAATTGTTTGTTTTGCTTAATTGCTTACAAATTCTTTTGCTAGTTTTCAATTCAAGGAGTTGTTTTGATAATTAGAACGTTCAATTCTTAGTTCTAGGAGTAGTCTAAGTTTTGTTCATCAAAGTACTTAGTTCCAGGAGTGGTCTAGGTAATTTGAGAGGCGTTGAATTCGTTCCAGGAGTGGTCGTTTTCAAAGTCATATCCGGTTCGTTATTCTTAAGTTGTTCGATTTTCTTAGGAAATTCGAAGGGCTTGTGTTACTTGTGTGATTTTAGATTCTTTATTAAGTTAAGGGGTTTAAATCCACATCAGATGAATAACTCAATAAACCCAAAAATCAAACATAACACAACCCTCCTTTGTCTCTATCATGATTAGTGCGAAAAAGGTAGGAATGGTCAACAATCTATTTTTCACACCAATGATTTATGTAACAATTATTTTATTGACGTAATTGCAATGTATTTAATGTGTTGCCTTGTTAAGGTCAAACCAAAACATTTATTATTTGTAATTTTCTTATACAATGCTGAAGCAAATTTTGAGAGCAATATACTGATGGCGGGTAAAGTAGTGTTGTAAAAAATAAATAACTGAATACCAAAGTAATTAAGCTCTGAGCCTCTGAATAGTAAGGGAAGGTACTAGTCAAGAATGTTTACATCATTAGGAAAGGGATACTTGTGACATAATGTCATTGGTATAGCAATGCTCTTTTTGATGTTGTTCCTCTAAAATCTATCTTAATGATTCAAATTTTAAAGTTACAAACAAAACCAGAATGTAGAACAAATCCTAGATGTGGCTCAAAAACAAAGCTAAAGACCTCTACTTTGGATTAGAATCAAATTTATTTTACTGAAATGCCATCCACACAGGATCAAAAGCACCTTAATAGAAATCACTTTTTAAAGGAAGAAAACAAACCCACGATTACTAGTATAAAATGAAAAATTGTATGCCTTAGATGGTAAAGAGAAATTAGGATTTATGATGCACTTTGAAATTAAGGATTGAATCACTATAAGAGCAATCGAAGTCTTCAAACTTTCTACCTTTTTCAATAAGATAAAAGCTAAACAAGAAACAAATTAAGACAGCTACATGAAGTAGCTATTCTGGTCACACTAGTTGGTGAATTGACTTTGTGATAAACCAAATTATCAAATCTAAAAAATCTACAACCACTTTGGGCTAGCATGAACCATATATCTAGGAATGGCAATGAGTTGGACTTGGGTTAGAATCAACAAATTACATATCATATTCGGAATTAACTTCACATATCAGGATCAGGCTCCAGTTAGATGTGCCAAATAAAGTTTTAGAACTAATGACACTACAACATTTACTTAATTTGTATAGAGAAAACAGAAGCATCATAAATTAATTGATGACTTAATAGTAGTAGTTGGATTCAACATTCATGGGATTCAATTCAGACTTCGCTTTTTCAGCTACTAGGAAAAATAATTCAACGTAACCTAAAAATATTTTAGAATGAAATACAATAGTTAAATTACACAAAGTGCCCAGAAGATGAAACCATACTCCCGAGTAGAAAATACTACAACACCTCAAATTCACCAAATTAATGCCACAACCTTCAATTTCTATTTTCAATTGACTTCACAATCATAAATCTCGACTCTTATCAAGTTATCGTATGCAAGGACGATTTAGGCTTTATCCTAGTTTCTTTCATAATCAACAAAATTGTCACTACCCAAAACTCCAAATTAGTCAATCAGGCTCACCCAACACACCCCACCCCTTTTCTCCCACACCCATGTCCATTATTCTACCCCCACCAAAAAATAAAATAGGGATTTTTCCCCCACCATTCAAATTGACCAAACAATTACGAAACAAATTGAAAATCCAATTACAGAACAAATTGAAAACCCAACTACAGAACAAATTGAGCAAACAATTACATAAAAAGACATTAAATTTTCATAATCCTCACCCAATTAAATACATAATTACCACAACATATAATAATGAAATAGGAATCTGAAAAATTCAGAAAAAACACAAGAAATGAGAAAGAATGAAAGAATAACGTACAGTGAGTCTACCACCATTGCCACCAAAATTCATCTGAACATCAGTCTCTGTTTCCAAAGCCTTCAAGTAATGAATGGCATCAATGACAGAAGCAGGAACAGGGGAATTAGTGCCCCAATTCTGCCACTCTTGCAATGTGAGGATCCCATCAATGGGGTCTCTTGTTGAAGGTGGAAGAGAGAGTGACCTTGTAGTTGATGACCTTGAGAAGGAAAAGATAATGGAGGTTTGGCTTTTGGTTCTACTAAGAGTTCTACTAGTGATTCTGTGAGAAGGGTTCATTGGAATCATAATCAGGGTTTTGAAGGTGGAAAAAGCAGAGGAGAATGAGAAGGAGAAGAAGGGAAGACTGCATTTTTGTGACAAGGGTCTGGTTTGTGACCACATTGGCTAGGCTAGGGTTTGGCTTGTGTTTTGTTTTCTCACTAGGGACGTACTCTCTTCGAATCCTAAAGGTAAAAATAAGGGTCGACGTGGTGGCGTGGGTGACACCGATGCTGTGATTGGTAATAGTTCACTTGGTTGTTTTAGAAGTGGTGTATAGACTAAAGTTAATGGGAAAATTTTAAGTAATAGCAAGGATGTTTCTTTGATTGAAAAGAGAGCTCTTTCCCAAAATAATGTCAAGAAAAACCTCAATTCCCAAATTACAGCCACTTCTTTACATTTTCCCAATCTACCGTCCACGTAAGCATTGGGTAAAAAAACCGGGTTTTTTTTTTTCCGATCCAGGGAAAACCGCTACTTCAAGTAGCGGTTTCTAAAAACAAAACCGCTACTTCAAGTAGCGGTTTTTGTTGTGAATTGTTTTCACTTAATAAACCGCCACTTGAAGTAGCGGTTTTTATTGAGTATACCGCTACTTCAAGTAGCGGTTTTCTTCAATACATCGCTACTTGAAGTAGCGGTTTTGTAAAAAAACTGGTCAAAAAAAATTCCAACTGAACCGGTGACGTGGACGGTAAAGTGGGAATATATAAAAGAGTGGCTGCATTTAGGGAATTACGCGAATTCCTAACCTTGTTTAGGGAAAGCGCTCTTGAAAAGATGGTTTGATAATTTTTTATGGCAATATTTATCATTCCACAAAAATAAATCGAATCGCATGTGTGACGTTTTGATATGAGCTTGCTGGTCAAATTGGTCTGATAAAACTTTACTTGCAAGTTACAATACTAGGGTGAAAAATACTAAAACTCCCCTCAATGTACATACGATATTAGGGGACGTAGGTTTAGATGGGGTAAAAGGAATGAAATCAAGAGAGGGAAAGGATGAGAAAGGAAAGTGATGCCCTTTGATGTATTGTGTGATTTATGTCATTGAGTGGTACGTAGCATCTATTTGATGAATCGCTAAATCCCGCCTACGTTATTTATCAAACAGCCAACATTTCATGTAAACGAACATCAATATGCTTACTAAACCACACTTAGCGTTCTCTCTCTTAAGACATCAAACCACCACCACTAGTCACGCCACTATAGTGATCACCACCGCCACATTCACCACCACCGTGATTGGATTGTCGGTAGCTGACTAGAAGGAAAATGTATGTGACGAAGCTAGATCATCAGAGGATCACCACCAACCCTACCATTGGCACCTCAAGAGGTACAAGCTATAGGTTTTTTTTTGTTGCTGGAAGCACCCACCAATCCACCATAGTGAACCGGCGATCTAAACTACTAGTCAATTGTGGTGAACCAGGGGTGGAGTAGGTTGTCCACGGTCAAAATTGGATGAATGTGGCTACCGGCCAGTTTCCACCACAGGTTGACCGACAATTTAGGGCACCGACAATAAGAATAAGATCCAATAAGGCCAAATAAGTTCCAATAAGGTCTAATAAGTCAAATCATTTTTTATAAGTTCAATAAGGTCTTAATAAGTTTAATAAAGTCAAATCTATACTTATATACTAAAATAATTCCGTAGTTGTCCTCTAAATACACATGTCATCACCTCATAACAGTTTTCCCGCCAAAAAAATTTGTTACTTTTTTTTTCTTTTTTTTTTGGTGTGTTATTGAAAGAAGTTTGTTACTAAATCTTAGGGAGAAGTTTTGGCCTTATATTTAGGGAATGATACCCAACAATAATAATTTAAATAAAATTAAAAATATAATGGTAAAGAATAAGAAATGTTAGGTAATATTATAAGATACTACTTAGGATTTTATATAAAAGTATTACCTTTTTTTTTTATCAATAAGAATAACATGAATAGTGAGTACTTTTTAATTAAGAACAAGAGTATGCTTTCATATCTATATCTATTATTATTAAAACTCATAGGAACAACCTGCTAATGTCATGTGTCACCCTTAATTATTATTTAGTGTCACATGTGCGCCATGTATCATCATATGTGTATCATTTTTTTTCCTCACCGCATTGAATTATGTAGTAATGTGTAGTTAATTTAAATTACTCTATAACTTTATTTCTCTATAATAATATTTAATTTTCATGAAAAACTCTTCATATGTATAACCTCTACATTTAAATTTGACATGCATATTCCAAATATATATTAATAAAAGATAATATAGATTATTATATATATTTATCACTCACTTTATTATTATAATCTGTATTGTTTAACATTAACCGTTTTTATTAATTTTGATCAAACAATTATAAAATACAATGTACTGGGGCATCGCCCAAGCCAATAACTAGTTACGAATACTAAAATATTGTTACTCTTTCCATCTCACATTAAATGTACTATAAATCTAGACACTGATATTTATCTTATGGTATATCACAATGTTTACTGTACTATTTTTTATGGTTTTTTTTATTTCTAATAATTTCATTTTGTACAGTTTCTAATAAACGAATAATGAAATATTATATTATTGTCGTGCATAGCACATGTTTTGAACTAGTAAATTCAACAAGTCTAATAAGTTCAATTAAGTTTAGTTCAGATAAGTGCATGTCCTATTTTGTAAAGAGAACACACCCTAAGTCAAATAAAAAGAACAAATAAGATTATGGGCCTGTTCATATTTACTGATCTGAGCTCAACTGAATTGAACTAAACTTAACTAAACTGAGCGGAACTGAGCTAAACAGAACTGAGCTGAACTGAACTGAACTGAATTAAGCTGAAAGGCCTATTCTGATTAACTGAACTGAACTTATTGGAGCTGATGAATTGAAATGAACTGAAATGAATATTTTATGAGAGAATGAAATCTAATATATATATATATATATATATATATATATATATATATATATATATAGTTTTTAGAGAGCCATATAGGATTTAATTTTCTTAACGCGCCACGTAGGATTATAAATTTTAGTTGTAGCCAATAAAATAAGAGATTAATAATTGCTTTTAGAATAAAATAATTCAAATGTCATGTAAGCAAATTTGTCAAATGAGATTTTTAGGTTTAAATTAATTAAATATAAAATATTATCTTTTGATATTATGAATTTTATCTAAATATATAACAAATTTTAGCACATACATAAAAAAAATGTATTTTTAAAAATTCAAACAAACAGTGCATCACACGGGCTTCATCTAGTATAACTAATATATAAAGCTAAACTTTTAGCCAGATCATGACAAAACAACACTTGGCATTCAAACTTTTCGCCAAGTGTCACGCCACATTGGATATTTTTAGATATACTTTATAGGATAAAAAATTTAGTTTAAAATTCTATTTTCAATCAAATTTAGATAGAATTTTAGGATAAAATTGTTAAATAAAATTTTTATTTTCAATAAAATACCACTACTGTATAAATTGAATTATAATTTTATTTAAAAAAATATTAGATTATAACTCAAAAAATACTAATATTCTTTTTAAAAAATCCAATATTATTATCTATACTCTATACTTTATTAATATTTAAAAACACAAACCATAATTTTTCATATGACACATGTCATCACAAGTCACTTACTACCACATATGACACATGTCACCCCTTTTAATCTTTTTGTTTAAGGGATCGTTTGGTTGAATGTAGGAATTGCAAATACCTTGGAAAATTGATTTCCCGTGAAATTGAACTTCCTAGGAAATTCTAAAAAGTGTTTGGTTAACTAAGGGAAGTGGAAATTCTCATGGGAAGTTCCACTTACCTAGGTCCCCCTAGGTAATTAACTTCCCCCATTTTGTGGGAAGTGGAAATTCATGGGAATTTCTACTTCCCATGAATTTGTCAACCAAACAACTTCAAAGAATTTCAATTCCTAGGATTTTCAATTTTCCATGTTTTTGTTTGTCAACCAAACAATCCCTAAGTCTTTATACATTCTATAACTTGCAAATTAAATTCAATTAAGAAAATGAAGTGTTTTATTTCCATCAAAATAAAATAAAGTTGAACCAATTAATATACATCACATAAACATATGAATTGAATTATATAAAAATTGTCTTTTCAACTTATAGACTTAAAATATAGCTTAAACCAATATGTCATTTCATATCCTACAATCTTCATATGTATATATACGTAACAAAATTCCTTCATCGTTTTCCACATTTCTACCCTCATTCTTTTTTCCCTTTTAAGTTTTAGCAATGAAACAATTGCTTCGTATTTTATGTCAAAAGTTTCAACTATCTACATATGAAATAACCTAGATAAGAACCCGTGCATCGAACGGGCCAAAAGGCTAGTTAGTTATTTACATGCCTACTACATAGTCAAATCGTTACAAAAAATACATTAATTCCTAACTAATTTTGTATTTGAGATATATTTTGAAATTTGACATATAGATTAAAAATTTAACTCAAAATTTAATAAACAACCCGGGCATCGCACGGGGCACAAAATTAGAACTGAACTGAACTTATTGGAGCTGGACTGAACTAAACTGAAAATAAGCTGAAGAGAACAGGGCCGAAATGAATATTTTATGAGAGAAGGATCTGAAATTATGGGCTAAATTGAACTAGACTGAAAAGTTGAAGTGAATAAGCCCTACATTAAATGTAAACAATTAAATTTTTGGTATAAGATTAATGACTTATTAAAAGCTATTAAATCTTATTTAATTTATTGAAACTTATTATATCTCATTAAACTTATTATAACTTATATAATCTTATTATTAGACCTGAAACTTATACTAGTATTTTTTTTAAGGTGAAAAGAACACACTATTAAACAAAAAAAAAAACTCCCCAAATCATATAATAAGAGCAAATGAGATCATAAGATAAGCTCATGGGGAGAATTAGGGCCTGTTAAAAAAAGTCATATAGATCATTTTTTTTGAGGGAAGTCACACAGATCATCTTAAAATAATTAAGAAAATTTTTCCAAAAAAAAAATAAAATAATTAAGAAAATTTATTTAAATAACGACCGACGAAGTCCCTTTGTTGAAAGTTGAAACAAAAACTCAAACAATCACACAATTTCGGAATTTCCATTCATTCCACTCACAAACCCCAAAACTAATCATTTCGTAACCAAACACTCATCTCCCTCCCACTCCTTTTAAAAAACCCCAAAAAGAGCAAGTTCAGTAACCGCCATGAATACTACTTTGCTTTGCTAATACCCATGTCTCCTTATTTTCTCTTTCCTAACTCCCATACTAATACTCTATTCTACCTTCCTTCTTAATCCTTCTCCACTACTTTTATTTCCCCATTTTTTCTTATTTTCCTTCATTTAAACTCCATTAATGCAGCTTTCTTCCAATAACCCACATTCCAAAATCACCTTATTTCACCCTTTTAACAATGTCCAACATTCAATCTCAAGAACAAATTAACAACCACCAAATTAATCACCCAAATTACATGGACAATTTATCAAAAAAGTTGAAACGTTTCAGATTCTTTGAGCCTTCATTAAGCATTACTGGGTTCTTATTTGTAACAGTGGGTGTTATTATATGTTGTTACTATTACTTAGATTACAGAGTTTTTGGAAGAGGGTTGAATTTTCCATTTAAATCACAGAGGTTTCAATGGCTACAATATGATGAATTTGCTGGTGTTTCTGCTTCGAATATTAAGAAAAGGGTTGAGTTTTTAAGTGAAAAGGGTGATGAATGTGACGTGTTTGATGGTGATTGGGTGTGGGATGAGAGTTATCCATTGTATGAATCAAAAAATTGTGAGTTTATGGATTTTGGGTTTAGGTGTTCTGAGAGTGGTCGACCTGATAATTTTTATACCAAGTGGCGTTGGCAGCCTAAACTTTGCAATTTACCAAGGTATATCTTTTTGTTCCTGTTTTTTTGGGGTTGTGTTTAACTTTATGTTTGCTGCTTTTTAATGGTTGGTTTCGAAATGTGTTGCGTGCTTATCATTTATATAATATCTCGTGTCGTCGTGTGCAACGGGTGTATTGTATATTACTGTATAAGTTTACTAGTAAATTTGCAAGGAAAAAATGGGGAGAGTTTATGTGACTTAAGGGTGATTATATGTATCAATGTGTGTTGTGTGCAATATACTCGTATGCACATTTTTGTTCCTGTTTTTTTGGGTTGTGTTTTAACTGTATATTTGCTGCTTTTTAATGGTTGGTTTCGAAATGTGTTGCGTGATTATCATTTTTATGATATCTCGTGTGCAATGGGTGTATTGTATGTTGTTGTATAAGTTTAGTCCCTATAAATTTACAAGAAAAAAACGGGGAGAGTGGATGTGAGTATGTGACTTAGGGGTGACTGTGTGTGTTGTGTACAATGTACTCATTGTATACACATTTTTTTTTTATTTCTGTATTTCGAGACATTTGGTATAAAATGTTGCACTTTAACAATGGTGACTTTTAAGTAATTTGAGGTGACCAAGCATAATACACTCATTACTCACATACAACTTTTTATGTTGTTTTTTTGTCGATTAAATGAAAATGTTGTGTTTGATTTAAGATTAATTTGAGTTTTAAAGTTGAGAACCATGAGGGAAAACGATGAACTACGAAATTCAATTCTGTTTTAGTTGGATTAACTTTCCTTTAGTTTTGTTATTATCTTTAAGTTGGTCCATAAACAACCACCAATAATATAAGAAATGCTTAAATTGCCTAATGTGGGTCAGTTGGTGTATTTTGCTGGGATCAAAAAATGTGTACTCTCTTCTTTTTATGTGTTTTTTTACTAATACGATTTGATCTCGCCAACTACCATAATGGCTCCTTATTAATGTCTTTGTTTCTTATTGTGTTGCTTTGTTGTTTGTAGGATATATACTTCTATTTATATGGCAAGTTTATAGTGATTGCTTTTTGATTTTTTGCTAGTAGTTTCCTTGTAGTTGGATTTACTTGAATTAGAAGTGTATGCAATAAAGAGTTTTGTTTTTTTTTCCATAGATGGCACATAGGCCTTGGTCTTGACCGTTAGGCTAAGACATTTTTGGTTAAAAGTTGGTAAAATGTCAAGTAATTATAAAGCTGTACATTGAAATGGATTATGGATTAAATTTAACATTGTCAATAATTTTCATCATTTAATTTGAAGAGCATTTTGGTTTTTGGTTGTTATTGAATTTTATTTGTATTTTTTAGGTCTTAGCATCTCATTGTTATTCCTTTTGTTCGAAAATAATTCTTCCGTACTTTTGGTATGCCCCTAAATGATCTCTCAATATAAACAAAAGGCGTCATCCTCCCTAGTGCACTTAGGCTACTTAACTTTCATCCCTCACAGTTTTGACACTTGCTCTAACTTTTTTTTTCGTTCATGAGCCACATTTTTTTCTTTTTAAACTACATAATGCCCTTGCTATTTTCCTTTAAATTCATGTCAAAGCGTAGCAAGAATATGAATTGAGGAAGTAAGATGTACTATTAATGTGAGGGGTTATTTTTCTGTATGTAATTTGATTATTAGACATTTAGATGGTGTTTATTACTAAATTAAGTAGTGTTCACTATACTTGAATTTCACTCTTCTTTTATGAATCTATTAGCTCAAACCTTTAGTCTGTTATCTAAACTTATTTGAATATACTACCTCCGTTAATAGTTATATGCAACTTTGAAATATTTTATATCTCACAAATAATACCCCAAATTGCAGATAACCATTAACGGAGGTAGTACTAATCCTGAACTTATAGCATATGAACATTTTAGAATTTAGACTTGAAGTTGACGTATTTAACATGTTAATCTTGAACTTATTCTATCATAAACTTATTAAACCCAAAATAAATGAAAATAAAGTTGTGGGGTGGGGGTGGCGGGGGAATAGTTGACCTTATGTAAATTCTTTAGTCCATTAGATCATTTGAACTTATTAGTGCTGAATAAATTTTATCAAATTTATTAATCCTTAACTCATATTATTTGAACTAATTAGAGCTAAAATAAGTGAAAATAAGATGAGTAGACCAAAGCCTCAATTATCTTATTCTGCATTGAACTGAACTTTATCAGTGGTGATTAATTTTCAGATTTCTAGTGCTTTCATATTTCTAATATCCTTTTGGTTGTTGTATACGGAATCGAATTCTGATCAATGACTTTTTTGGCTTATCACCATTATCAGATTTGATGCAATATTGATGTTGGAAAAACTAAGGAACAAACGCGTTGTATTTGTGGGAGACTCAATTGGAAGGAACCAATGGGAATCGCTTCTTTGTATGCTTGCTTCTGCAGTTTCTGATCAGAAATCAATATATGAAGTGAATGGAAATCCTATAACAAAGCACAAAGGCTTTTTGATTTTCAAGTTTGAAGACTATAATTGCACAGTTGAGTATTATCGGTCTCCATTTCTCGTATTGCAGGGACGCCCCCCTGCAGGAGCGCCAGAAAAGGTCAGGTCCACTTTAAAATTAGATCAAATGGACTGGAATGCTGGGAGGTGGAAGGGTGCTGATGTTCTTGTCTTCAATACAGGACATTGGTGGAACTATGAGAAGACTATTAGAGGGTAATTTTACAACTCATGATTACTATTAGATATCTTACCTTGCGTTTGAGTTTTGCTTTGCTAGTCTTATGTCTGGTCTGCCTGTCTAGCTTTGCAATTGCCCATTTTCGTTTCTTTTCCTTTCTTTACATTTGGCAACTATATTTATGTTACTGAATTCTAGTTTACACTTCTCCTGCATCACATGGCCTTAAAATGCATCAACTGGAATAGGTAAAGTAATATTTCAGCACCAAAAATCCAAAAGCTAGAACAAGTACTCCTATTTCTGGAACTGAATGTCTCATTGTCTTATATCCTCATATTCTTTTTAATAACAGTAGTGTCCTAATTATTTCATTTTAAAACAGGAATTTTCAAATTATCAAATCAAAATCGATGTGACTATTAAATTTGAACTGATAATAGTATGTCAAGATTATTTCATAAAGATTTCAGCTGTTCTACTCCATCCTCTAACTTATATTTTGTCTGCTGCTACCCTGCACCGTCTCATGACGTCTTTTGTATCTTCCCTCCCTACCCCTTCCCAATTTATACTTTATAATCACCTTTCTTTCACATTTGATTTTTTTTAATTTTTTATATTTATTTTTATTTTTATTATTATTACTTATGAAAATCAAGCAGTTCGATGAGACTGCTTAAAATTCTTTGTTTATCTTAAAGTATTATAGGAATAAAATGTCAGGGAATCTTTCTGAATTGCTAGTATAGTTTAGTAATCTCTGTATTCCAGAACCACTGTTTGCCACAAGTATCGCTTTAATTTTATTCATTTCCTTGCCATAAATTTATTTTTCCTCCCTATACCCTTTATTACTTTTCCTTTGACACTGTTAACCAAACTCAAACCAGTAAAGTAGTATTTGACATCGGCTTCATGCAAACAGCCGAAAACAATGTATCTTGTTTTCTTCGGTAAGATTGTTTATTATTCAAATTTCAAAAGGATTTCTGGGGAGCCACCTCTATATATGGGCATGATAATCCAGTAAAAAAATTTGTCAAAGAATGAACAGAATCTGTATCTGATTTATAATATTAACGATTTAATGTGTTATTCAGACCACATGCATTGCTTTTTTGGAATATTTGGCGCCACGTTGTGTTTGTGCCTCTGTTTCACGGTCCGGGAGTTTGGACCCCAAAACGTGCGGCGCGCTCTAGCCTTTTGGCGGCAAGAACGCTAGCCTTGAGCGGAAGAGGGGCTTGTGAGCACAAAGCAACACAAGCGTGCAATAGAATCTCAGGAGCACTCACGTCTATCTGGGCGACGGAGTGCGGGTGGTCGGGGCTTGTGACGGCCGATACTTCAAAGCGGGCACAAGCGGGTCCGAACCACGAGTCCTTAGCGCATCAAGTTGGGTTGGAGGGGAGCTAATATGCAAGTAAGACACAATATCTATAAAGGTCTAACAACAAACAAGCATAAAAGCAAGGCAACACTTGGTAGAAGGCTTTAAGATTTCATTAATCATTCGCCCTCTAAAGAGCTTTAAATGACATACAAGGAGAATCCCTAGTGAACACTGATCTGACAGTAACACAATAATGGGACCTCAAGCTAAGAAAACATAACCTAAACTCTAGGAAAGCACTTAAATGGAATCTAATACATCAAAAGGAGTTGGATTCTAACATCCTCCCCCACTTAAGCTGTCGACGACCTCGTCGACTTACAAAAGTTACAATCAAAATTAGAAAACCCTAAACTATCTCAAGTTTCGGATGCGCCGTTGGTGCGGCTATCTTCTGGAATCTTATCTGACTCTTGAGCTGGATCTTCTTTGTTGACGAGGAGCTTGTCTCTGGAGTCGCTCGGCTCGAACATCTTGTTGAGAGCTTCATCTATAAATTTCCTCCACCCGCACTCTATTGCCCGCTTGTGTTGCTTTGTGCTCACAAGCCCCTCTTCCGCTCAAGGCTAGCGTTCTTGCCGCCAAAAGGCTAGAGCGCGCCGCACGTTTTGGGGTCCAAACTCCCGGACCGTGACAGTTGGTATCAGAGGGGAGCTAATATGCAAGTAAGACACAATATCTATAAAGGTCTAACAACAAACAAGCATAAAAGCAAGGAAACACTTGGTAGAAGGCTTTAAGATTTCATTAATCATTCGCCCTCTAAAGAGCTTTAAATGACATACAAGGAGAATCCCTAGTGAACACTGATCTGACAGTAACACAATAATGGGACCTCAAGCTAAGAAAACATAACCTAAACTCTAGGAAAGCACTTGATTCTAACACTCTGCCAGTCATAGAGACTGATGGCATTGAGCTGCTTTCTAACGGCATTGTAACTCCTAGTACTATGGTCGGAAAGGGGTTTGTCGGTTTTACAAATTGGACGCTTGCTTAATTAGGATGAACTAGTGTATATATCTTGGTCCAATTTTGTCACATAGCTCAATCGGATATTTAGGAAGATGTGAATAGCTACTTAATTATTAGTGTTTCTGAATAAGTTGCTTCACCCTATGTAGCAATTTTGAAAGTTCTGAACAATGTGAAAATGGAATCATTTATTTCCGTGCAGCAAGCTGAAGGAAAGCAATTAATTTATTGTATTATGGGATATATTTTTTCATTTTGAACCTTTTCTTATTTTCCTGCTATACTTGTGAAGCTCTCAAGATTAGTAGATTACATATTTTCTGTAATTCCTTATTATGCAAGAGCTGACCATTGGAAATGTATTTTTGTCGGGCAGGGGTTGCTACTTCCAAATTGGGGTAGAGGTAAATATGAATATTACAGAAGATGACGCATTCCGCAGATCTTTGGAGACTGTTCTTGACTGGATAGACAGAGAGGTAGATACAAGTAAGACACAGGTCTTCTTTCGCACCTATGCTCCTGTACATTTCAGGTTTGTTATTTTCTGTTCGATCTTCTTCGGCCATTATATTATTATGCCACTTAAACTGTAGCTAAACAAGCTCTAACTTTGGGGATATAAGTTCTTTCACAAAAAGATTTATGTGTGATCCACTCCTTCCATTGTATCCTCTACCTCTTGAGTACCTTTAGATGAACATGTAAAGCTTAAAGTTGATTCTTATAATTGAAGCATTATTATTGGTTCAATTAACTCAGTATCTTCATGTAAAAGAAAGGCCTTTTATCTTTTTGTGATCTTTTTGCTTAGGATATGGACCATATGGTGTATCCTTTACTCCCAAATACTTCACAAAATCATAAGTACTCGTGTCATTATAATAATTCCCTGACCTTGCCCATGTTACCTTAATACTGCACAAGTCAATCACTATACTTATGATGTTGATGACATTTGTGGCTGGCAGAGGTGGTGATTGGAGAAGTGGCGGAAGCTGTCACATGGAAAACCTCCCAGAGCTCGGGGAGTCTCTGGTCTCATCTCAAACATGGTCAAAACTCAACATAGCTGCAGAAGTATTGACTTCTCACAGTAACAATCCGAAACTTGGGGACATAAGCATGTTGAACATTACAGCTATGTCTTCTAGAAGAAAGGATGGTCACTTGTCGTTGTACTACCTGGGTCCTGGTGCTGGTCCAGCATCAATCCATCGGCAGGATTGCAGTCATTGGTGCCTGCCTGGGGTTCCCGACTCTTGGAATGAACTACTTTTTGCTTTGCTAATTAGACGTAGTGTCTCTAAGACATCAAATTCGACTTCTCAAACACAGGCCGTTTGAAATGTGATTGGTTTGTGCAGAATTTGATAGTAAAAATTACAGCTAACATAATGCATATTGTGTTGGAGGTTCTTTGCAGGGAATTACAATCAGTGAGTGGTAGATGCAAAGAAGACTTGTCATTTTAAAGGGTAATCTGATTTGTGAATATATGGTTAATTATACAGAACGAAGGAAACAACTCATCTTCTATTTCTTTTTTTTTTGGATTTGGAGGAGAGCAAAAGGTGCTTCCATTTGCAAATGCAATTTATATATAGCATAATTTTATGTAATATTTATAGGAATTTCCTCCCAATTCCAAAGTTCCAAGTCTAAATAAATATTTTTTGTTAGTCTTTGTTATCTTTAAATTATTTTTTTCCCATCAATTGATTATGCTTTACAATAATAAAGGGTTTGTTTGGCCAAGCTTATATAAAACAAATGGTATTCATAAATGTGATTTTTTTTTTTTTTTTTTGAAAGAAATAAATGTGATTATTCTAGAAATTGTTTCTAGTGAAAAAATTTTGAATTTTAACACCACTGAAAAAACACAAAATGGTTTTTAACACTACCAAAAAGAAAAACCTTTTATTTTAACACCACCAAAAACGTCAAAATTTTGTTTTTACCACCACTTAACGAACTTTAGGATGAAATTCGTTAAGTGGGGCTACAATGCCACATGCCTTCATATAGTTGGCTAAAAAAATAAAAGAAAACTAAAAAAACAGAAAAAAAAAAATTATTATTAAAAAAAAATTAAAACCCCAGCCACCCAACCACCACCATAGCCCACAGGAACTCTTTCCCCTACCTGACCAACGCAGCCCAAGCCCCTGGTCCCACCTTCGGCGAAACCCCTCCCTAGACCGACACCGAAAACCTCCCCTCGACCCTATTCCACAACCCTAGGTTGATCGACACACTTACAACCCAACCAAAACGATCGGCTTCTCCCTAAAAGCGGCCGCGGAGTCGGCCACGGCCACTAGCGGCCGACTCCATGGCCGCGTTTAGGGTCAAAATCGACCACTCAGCCCCAAAACCGGTCGTTTTCGACCGTTGGTGGCCAATTTCAGGACCTTTCTGGGGTAGGACGGCCATTTTGGGATTACATTGGGTGTCGGTCTGGCTGTGCGAGGTGGTTCCCAGTACAAGTAGGTAATAAGGTTGGGGTGGGGGCAGCGCAAGCAGCGTGGGAAGAGATTTTTGGTGGTAGTGGGTCGGTGGTGGTCAGGTGTTGGTGGTGGTGGTTGGGTGGCTGTATTAGTTTTAGGAGTTTTTTTCTAAAAAAAAATTCTCTTTTTCAACCAATAAAGTTGTGACACGTATACTTTATAGGCCCACTTAACGGATTTTATCCAAAGATCTGTTAAGTGGTGGTAATATCCAATTTTGTGATTTTTTGTGGATTTTTTTTTTATTTTTTTTTAGTGTTAAAAACCATTTTTGTGTTTTTTTTTGTGGTGTTAAATTCAAATTTTTTCATCATTTATTAAAAAAAGAAATATATTAAACAAATTGTGTTCATAAATGCGATTTTCTAGAAACTATTTCTAGTGAATCATTAATTGAAAAACAAATTGTGATAAATTTTTAAGATATGGAATGGGTTTAGGTAACCCGAATTAGGAGGAGAGTTTAATTCACAAATTAAATGACTAAATAACGCTTAGGAGATTTCATACTAAAACTAATTGGTAGTAGAAGGAGTAACTCTTCTACCTTATGAAATGGAACAATCTCTCTTATTTCTGATAGTGAAGGATAGCTCGAGTGGTTAGACTTTTCCTCCCAATTCTAAGAGATCTTAAGATTGATTTTCATTACCCACTCTTGTAGCTTTCTAAGCAAAAAAAAAAAAAAAAAAAAAAAAAAAAAAAAAAAAAACTCATCTTTCTCCAATATAGGACACTCACAAGTGAAATACAATTGATTTTAACACTCCCCTTCACTTGTGAGTGTCCTTAGAATTAGAGCACACTAGAAGAGTAGAAGATACAATGTAATCCTCATTGGGAATGAACATTTCATGGAGGCCCCTTAACCAGTGGTACAAGCACACCAAATGGCTCATTGTTTATTGATCAAGGTTTTTAGATAATTAGAATTAAAAGTTAGCCTCTCTCCTCCTTTCTCTCTCCAAAACCCTAACCTCCATTGTTGAATTTTGAAGGGGATTCCATCGATTTTAATCGTTGGAAAGCCCCAATCCTTGTTTCTTTATTGTTTTTTTAGGTTTATAATAATGCTTTCTCCTTTTGGGAGGAACTTTTCTCCCTCGAAAGAAAGGGTTTCCGATCTCCTTCAAAAAACAAGGGTTTTTCGACCTCCTTCGAAAGACAAGGTTTATCTCCACTTTTCGAGGGAGAAATTTCTTAGTTTTGAATCCATGGTAGCAGATCTAATGGATTGTCGTGAAATTATTTCGTTGGTGAAAAAGTTATCAAGTTTTCGAATATGAACATATGAATCAGAAGGAAAACATCCTCACGGCTACAAAGGATCGTTAGATTGTCTCTCCAACAAGGCTGTAATTTTCAACGATATAAGCGGGAGATGCTCCGCAGAGCAAGATCTACTCGACGATCGTAGTTTTTATGAAGGAAAATTCTATTTGATTCAATATCTTATGTATTTGTTAACGTCGAATCTCTATTGTAGATGTCGTATGACTTTTAATTAATGAAATATTTTTGCTATTTAAAAAAAAAAGGTTTTTAGATAATTAATTACACATAAAGGACATGCTTGGACTTGAGCAGTGTATTAAGAACTTATAAAATCAACAATATGCTATATGTAGCCCTAGGCTAAGGATTAACGTTTAACATATTTCCTAATTTAGTATTAATTTATAAATACATGATGAAATCACACATTAATCATTGTAATTAATGTTATTTTTTCATTTATATGTTCCATTTCAAGTATTATTTTTTACATAGCCCTAAAGACTATGTACTCTATCCATCCCATAATATAGTTTTTGTTTTTCTATTTTGCAGACATAAAATGTTGTTCCTGTTTCTATTTTTGAATACTCCCTCTGTTTTTTTAATACTTGCTCCATTTCTCTTGGGCACGTATGCCGATATTAATCTTTGATCAATAATATCTTTAATTATTAATAAGTAAAAATTCTAACAATTAAAAATTAATAATCTATTCATTGAGACGATTCCAATAAGGGGCCGTTTGGTTTGCACGGGGTAATCGGAATGGAATGAACAAAGGGAAAGAGAAGGAATGGAATGAAAATACCTAAAATTTGGGGTGTTGTTTGTTTTAAAAACAAAGGGAATGAGACTCACCTATCCCACCACCACACAACCACCACTAACATTCATTCTCTAACGTTCCAACCACCGAACCACCACCAAACCAGTCGCCGCACCTCCCTCACCCTTCGCCTCCCTTCTCCGGCCATCCCCGCCCCTCGCAAAACCTTCCACGACCCCGATAAAACCCTAGATTGACGAGGGGTTTAGGAAGTGGCGGAGGAATGCTTTTGCGGGGAAGGGGACAGGCGGCGAGGCTCAGGGAAGGGTCGGCGATGGTGGTGGGAGGGCTGGGCGGCGGTTTTACGGGGATAGGGAGGGGTTTGCGGGGGTTGTGGGATATTTTGCGGGGTAGGGGAGGGCGGCGAGGGTCGGGGAGGGGCAGCGGTGGTCGGGGGAGGGGGGCGGTGGTCGGGGTAGTGTCGGCGGTGGTAAGGTGGGCTGGTTTCCGGTGGTGTTGGTAGGTGTGAAGGTGGTGATGTGGTGGTGTGAAGGTGGGTAGGGAATGGAATGGAAATACCTAGGGGGGGTGGGGAATGGAGTTAGAGGGATTTGGGGGAATGAAGGGGGTAAAGGGAATGAAAGAAAGTGCTTAACAAACAACAACAAAGGGAATCGGGGTGATTGATTCCCATTCCCTTTCCTGAATACCCCCAACCAAACGACCCCTAAGTATCTACAAGAATATATTTTTTTCTTATGTATAAATCACAAACATTATTTGGTAATAAAATTAAAAATCAAAAATAAAAAAAAGAAAAAAGAAAAATGTAAATAAAGATGATGCTAAAAAGATAAGGTGGTGATAAAGGAAAGATGTTAGTGGCAATATGAGGATAAGAGACATATGGAGAAATTATTATCCTCATAATAGGTGTAATAAGCTAATAGCTACTCATCACTAAACTAGGATAACAATTGCCCCAGACCGCTCCAATATTAGGGTAATAGTTTCCTCTCCCTCCCTCCCTTAACATAACACCACCATTATCTCAAATTCTCAACTATCTAAGGTTTTATTTTATTTATTTATTTATTTATTTATTTTTTTTTTTTTATGGAAATCATTTTTCTTGTAAAATGATTGGTAAAGAGAATAATGCTAAATGGACAACATAATTTTGTGAAAGGGGTTTTTCTTTATTGTTTGATTATAGGAATATATATGGAGAAAAAGAAATATGAAAACTCGGAGGAAATAATAATCATGCCGAAGATGCCAAAAATGTTCTATGTAATTGCACGTAAGCTATGACTCATCTTCATATCCATTTCTAAGGTTTGTGACAACATAATATTTGTTGGTGGAGAATGTTCAAAATCAAAATTAACATTTCTCAAATGCATGGTGGCAAATAATTAAATCAACATTTTGACATTTCCAAAAGTCTTCCTAGCCCTATGAAAAATACCTTCAAATGGGGCGGGGATGTGCAAAAGCAAGTTGTGTTATGTGATATCGTGTATACTTAAGGAAAATGCACAAACATACTTTTATAAACCACGTATGCATATTTTACATATAATATTTAATGTTGCATATATATTGTAGATATGTTTTATGTATCCCATATAACTTTTGTTTACCTTAAATTTGATGATATGACTCACATATTATTTTCACAATGCAAAGTAATTCAATTAAAATACTTAATTTGTCACCATTTCATTGTTTGGGACATGGATATACAAGAGCTAAGTGGGGACACTTTCCTCAATTATTTTGAACTTAACTTCCTCCCTGCTACTAATATCGGTGAACGATAAACTAAGACAAGTTTAACTACGGGATAAAACAACCAGTAATACTT